ACGTTTTATAAAACGTTTTGAAAATATTGGTTTAATAAATACAAATTCTTATCTTTAGGAACGGATACATTTTTGAGGCGGTTGAAATTATTGCAGCCCATTTTACACAAACATCCTCTTCTGAATGTCTCATCCTGTTTTATCAGCTAAAGGAGTCAGATCTTCAGCTGAAGGAGCCAGATCTTCAGCTAAAGGAGTCAGATCTTCAGCTGAAGGAGTCAGATCTTCAGCTAAAGGAGTCAGATCAGCTGAAAGAGCCAGATCTTCAGCTGAAGGAGTCAGATCAGCTGAAGGAGCCAGATGTTCAGCTAAAGGAGCCAGATCTTCAGCTGAAAGAGCCAAATCTTCAGCTGAAGGAGTCAGATCAGCTGAAGGAGCCAGATGTTCAGCTAAAGGAGCCAGATGTTCAGCTAAAGGAGCCAGATCTTCAGCTGAAAGAGCCAGATCAGCTGAAGGAGCCAGATCTTCTGAAGGAGCCAGATCTTCAGCTGAAGGAGTCAGATCTTCAGCTGAAGGAGTCAGATCAGCTGAAGGAGCCAGATCTTCAGCTGAAAGAGCCAGATCTTCAGCTGAAGGAGTCAGATCTTCAGCTGAAGGAGTCAGATCAGCTGAAGGAGCCAGATCTTCAGCTGAAGGAGCCAGATCTTCAGCTGAAGGAGTCAGATCAGCTGAAGGAGCCAGATCTTCAGCTAAAGGAGCCAGATCTTCAGCTGAAAGAGCCAGATCTTCAGCTAAAGGAGCCAGATCTTCAGCTGAAAGAGCCAGATCTTCAGCTAAAGGAGACAGATGTTCAGCTGAAAGAGCCAGATCTTCTGAAGGAGCCAGATCTTCAGCTGAAGGAGCCAGATCTTCAGCTGAAAGAGCCAGATCTTCAGCTGAAGGAGCCAGATCTTCTGCTGAAGGAGCCAGATCTTCAGCTGAAGAAGTCAGATCTTCAGCTGTAAGAGCCAGATATTCAGCTGAAGAAGTCAGATCTTTAGCTGAAGGAGCCAGATCTTCAGCTGAAGGAGCCAGATCTTCTGAAGGAGCCAGATCTTCAGCTGAAAGAGCCAGATCTTCTGAAGGAGCCAGATCTTCAGCTGAAGGAGCCAGATCTTCTGCTGAAGGAGCCAGATCTTCAGCTGAAGAAGTCAGATCTTCAGCTGAAAGAGCCAGATCTTCAGCTGAAGAAGTCAGATCTTTAGCTGAAGGAGCCAGATCTTCAGCTGAAGGAGCCAGATCTTCAGCTGAAGGAGCCAGATTTTCAGCTGAAAGAGCCAGATCTTCAGCTGAAGGAGCCAGATCAGCTGAAGGAGCCAGATCTTCAGCTGAAGAAGTCAGATCTTCAACTGAAGGAGCCAAATCTTCAGCTAAAAGAGCCAGATCTTCAGCTGAAAGAGCCAGATCTTCAGCTGAAGAAGTCATATCTTTAGCTGAAGGAGACAGATCTTCAGCTGAAGGAGACAGATCTTCAGCTGAAGGAGCCAGATCTTCAGCTGAAGGAGCCAGATCTTCAGCTGAAGGAGCCAGATCTTCAGCTGAAGGAGCCAGATCAGCTGAAGGAGCCAGATCTTCAGCTGAAGGAGCCAGATCTTCAGCTGAAGAAGTCAGATCTTCAGCTGAAGAAGTCAGATCTTCAGCTGAAGAAGTCAGATCTTCAGCTGAAGGAGCCAGATCTTCAGCTGAAGGAGCCAGATCTTCAGCTGAAGGAGCCAGATCAGCTGAAAGAACCAGATCTTCAGCTGATATGGTCAGATCTGCTGAAGCAAAGCAAAAGCTTGAGGAAACCAAAAAGAAGCCGAACACCAAGATGTACTCATCAGATCCCGTTACCTTCCTGACTGTTGGGGAGACAATAGAAACTCACCTGCAAAGAGAAAGTCTGAGTAAGAAATCTATTCTTTAGGTTACTGTGAACCTCAATATTCTTATTTTACGTCTTTTACATTTGTTTTTATTTTCACAGAGTGTTCAAGCTTGAGTACTTGTCTCTCAGTTAAGGTACGTATCTTTTTAAAGCCTTTACAGTAGTAGAATACACACACAAGAACACTATCGGTAACTGAACTCACGCAACGTCCCCACGGTTCTTCCTGCCTGACTAGACCCGTCTGAAGGTTAAAGTGAACATCTAATACCTTCGTTTTCTCATGGTCTATTCTCGCCACAACTTACTTCTCGGTTCTACACAGGGTGGTTTTTGATACGAGTGCCGCCTCAATGTGATCAAGATCAAATCAAGCGTACTACTAACGGGTAAATAAAATAAAGTCACAAAACTCTCAGTACCCTCTGCCTCGGTTTCTAAAAAGGAGTGTCCGAGTCGAGACCACCTTCACTCCACCGGCTAGAACCCGCAAATCAAATCCATTTGGTCGAAGTTCGTCAAAGATTTGTCATCACCCAACAAACACAGGAATGCCTGCACCTCCTCATAGTACCATGGTGGTATGTGTTGCTATTTTAGAAAAGTAAATGACCAAAACAAATGCTGCGGTCGTGAAGTTTTGAAAAAGTTTTGCAGAGGAGACGCTCTCGTGACCTCAAATCTTCGGCTCATATGGAGCCTCTGCTGAGTAGGTACAAAGAACCGAGCTGGAAGCATGTGGTTTGACCTAACAAAATAGATTTGGCTCCACGTTGAATCGAACCCAATGACAAAGACCTTTTAAAATTCAGAGAAAGACTTGTGGTTAGACAAGGACAGAATCGAGCTCCTTGGCATCAAATTAACCCGTCGTCTTTAGAGGAATAGAAATGTTCAGTCTAATTCGCAGAACACAATTTTGGGGTAGTAAAGGACAAATTCACTAGACTGAGGGGCAATGGACAGCTTTAGATATGGACAAATCTTAGAAGAGAGACTTCTTTCCTCAACTATAAGGCTGATGAAGGGTCATGGATGGGTCCAACCAGGCCAACGACCCGAAACATACCACCAAGAAAATAAAGAAGTGGCTGAATAAACGTTACAGTCATTGATAGGTCTTTCCCATTCTACCTAATTATTTCTTCTTTTTATTCCCAGAGTAAGACCAAACTGTTGCTGATTGACAACCTGCCGGTTTACGATGATGTCTGCTACACAGAGGCCAACATCGCCAGTTTGCTTAAACCGTTTGGATTTCAGTACAACGACAGCAACATCTACGTTATTCCCAAGATGCGAATGGTATGAGCTAGGTCCTAAACCTACGATGAGTTGGTTTCCAAAACCCAGGCTTCTTTTTCCAACCGTCTTCTACACAAAACACATTTAAAGATGTTATTTATTAATCTGCCATTAGATATGTTTTCATTTTGTCGTCTAGGCCTTTGTCCTCATGCCCGTTTTGATGATGATACGAGACTCTATTAAGAATTCATTGAGCAATTTAACTTTAAATACATCGAAACTCATCTTGGAGGTTGTTCACAACAAAATCTCTATGTCTCCGGTAAGAGAATGTTTGAGTTTTCGCTAAGTTAGAAAACGTTTTTACATTGGTCTGTTTCTCATTTTCAAAATGTTTTCTTTCAAATAACTCAGTATTTATTGGTAATGATGGTATATTTGACACCAGGTCCTAATTTGTTCAGCTTTTGTTTTTGATTTTAAAAAGCTGCTTAAAAAAGAGAAATAATCCTAAACTAAACCAGATTTTATGAACATGCGCCTGTTTCCGTTTTAGATCGGCTTCTACAGATCCCTGATGAGACTGATGAATTTTGTAAGTAACAATATGAGCATTCAGATAAATGTTAAGCTTCCCTTAAACACAAATCGATTGTTTTATGTATTGCGATAGATCAGAACCTTTCAGTGGTTAGGCCCTGGTTGGATAGAAAGGCGCTATATAAGTACAGTCCATTTACCATTTAGGACCTTTCTTGATATAAACATCTACCTTGTCAAGACCTGAAACGGTGGAATGACATTTTTTGAGTTAGGCTTATGGATGCACGATATATCAGCATTAACATCGGTATCGGCCGATATTGGTCTTTTTTTTAGATTATCGTATTGGTCCGATAAGTAAAACTGGGCCAGTATTAATGTCCAATATTAATTTCCCATTTTTAGGCCCGAGCAGCTAAGCGCTGCGAAGGCCTATTGTTTTTTTACTGTTTGTTATAGTTCTTGTGCCAAATGAATTGCCTTTTTGGGGGCTTTATCATATTCAAAAACTCACCAAACTTGGCGGGGGCATAGAGCCCGTGTAAAATTTACGTATTTTAAGGTCCCCGGAAAAATCGCACAAGAAACGGCTCAAGGGCGCCACCTAGCAACTTTCAAGAGACCCTTTCCTATTCACTTACTTTATCGTAGCGACTTGAAATTTGGTACACTTGTAGAGCTCCCCAAGACACTCTGAATTTACAATTAATGTCATAGGCTGTGTCTCAATTCAGGGGCTGGGTCCTCATGAGTGCGCATTTGTCGGCCGCATACGTCATTGCCCCGCGCGGAGG